GGTTCCAGTTGGTTCCTGTTGGTTCCTGTTGGCTCCAGTTGGTTCCTGTTGGTTCCAGTTGGTTCCTGTTGGCTCCAGTTGGTTCCTGTTGGTTCCAGTTGGTTCCTGTTGGCTCCAGTTGGTTTCGGTTGGTTCCAGTTGGTTCCGGTTGGTTCCAGTTGGTTCCGGTCGGTTCCTGTCTCTGACCCGTTCCCGTGTTCGTCCTCCTCAGCCTCCAGTTTGGGTCAGCAGGAGGTCACCATCCCGGCCGGCCTGCCTCAGTACTGCTTCGACGAACTCTCTCCGGACTCTCTGTACACAGCCACCGTCTTCGTTCAGACTCCCAATCTGGAAGGTCCAGGAGTCGGCGCCAAGGAGCGGACACGTGAGTCTAGAAGGTTCCTGAACTATTGGTGGTTCTGGTCGGTCCTGAAACATCTTGTTCATGTTGCAGAACCCAGCCTTCTGTTCTAGTTTACTGGAATAAGCTGATTTTTTCCTGCATTTTTTTTTTTGCTACAGTGAAATTAAAATCTGAACCAAAGTCAAACTGGGTTCCTTACAGCAGCTGGTTTGTTACTGGTTCTGGTTTACTGATCACATGTTGGTCATTCTGTTTGCTCTCAGTGGTGAAGCCGACTCCGGTTCCGACTCTGCCCCCGACCCCGACGCCGCCCCCCACCATCCCACCTGGATGGGCAGGTGAGTCTGCAGCAGAGAGAGAGTTTACCTGGATGGGAAGCGGTTCTGATCCGCAGAGAGGAAACATCCCCGCAGTGTGACCATGTGTAAACAGTATGTTACTCTAGTCTAGACGGGAGGAAGTAGCTGCACGAACATCCGTCTCTACTTCCTGTTCAGACTCGGAAACATTCCTCGGAATAGTCAAACCTTAAAAGTTAAGCGTCTGGCTTTTGTTCACTACTACGTCTACAGAGGAAGCACAATAGCTTTATTCTACAGTTCAGTTTAAAAGGTTAAGAGGCTCTGATGGGTCAGAACCAGAAGAACCGGGTCAGAGTTCTGGCTGCGTACGTTGAGCTTTGCTTGGTGTGTGCAGTGTGTAAAGGAGCCAAAGCAGACGTTGTGTTCGTCATCGACGGCTCCTGGAGCATCGGGGAGGAGAGCTTCACCAAGGTCGTCCACTTCGTCTCCAGCATCATCGCCGCCTTCGACGTCGTCGGACCGTCAGGGATGCAGGTCAAAGTTCAATCATCATCATTCATCTGAAAGTCATTGATAAATCATTTCATAATCTGCTGATCAGCAGATTTATATTTAAAATAAAGGACATTATGTTATTTGTCAGGTCCACTCTCGCATTTCAAAATATCCAAAAGGCAAAAAATGCCAGAGCAGCCCAGGAGGAGGGTTTCGACTCGCTCAAGCAAATAAAGCACTCGCGGAGACTCCTTTCTTGTTTCCAAAAAGGTTTCTTTTACTTACAAATATAACAAAAAGTAATCTCCGAGTTGACTTCTACAAAAATAACTTAATTTGCGGTACAAAGATCATTTCGCTCCTCACTCCTTTGTCAAACAATCAGCTCAGCCCCAACAGCTGTTTGTGCCTGTTAATCACCGCCTGCTGCTGACTGACAAGGAGGAGGGTCTAAAAAAGGAACAATTAAATACATACATAATTGAATATACAAAATTGAGCTGCCATTAATTTGTCATTAACTCTGTGGAAATTAATTTAGCAAAGAATAAATATATCTAATTCTTAATAGGCTCCAACATTATTAGAGTTTTACACAAATGATTTTCACATAAAGAGACCCTAACCCTACTTATTGATTTATTTATCAAAGATAAATAGTGGCTCTAATCGGTCCGCTCCGATTAGAGCCACTAACAAAAATCTGACTCTTTTCTTTTCTCACAATTTTGATTTTAATTCTGAAACAAAAAACTAAATAGATGTTTTAGTGGCCCTGGTCCTGTTCAACAGCAATGGCACGCAACACAGTGAAATATATTTATATATAAATATCATAAGGTCACATTTCAAGAATCATTATTTTAATCTTTGTTCCTGTAAAATAATCAAACTTTAAACAGTAAAGCTTCAGATTGCACAGATTTTCCTTCCACTCAACTTTCCATTTTAATATAGCGATCCCTCTGTCACCTGTTCACTACAAAACATTTCTGTTGAATTCATTTTAATTGTTGTTGTGATGTGATGAGAAGCAAAAGGTTTGCTTTCCACTCACTGTAAAACAGAACCGGCCATGTTTAGTTTATACTGGATCCCGTCTCGGAGGATCCAGAGATTAATCCGGATTATTCCGGATGTTCTGATGAAGCCGCTCCTCTTCCAGGTTTCCTTCGTTCAGTACAGCGACGGCTCAAAGACCGAGTTCAAGCTCAACTCGTACGCAGACAAAGGCGTCGCCATGGCAGCGGTGCATCACATCCGCTACCGAGGAGGAAACACCAAGACAGGTGTGTTTGGATGGTCCGATACAGTCCTGGTACTGGTCCGGTCCTGGTCCCGGTCTGGTCCGGTCCTGGTCCATGTCCTGGTCCCGGTCCGGTCCGGTCCTGGTCCTGGTCCCGGTCCGGTCCTGGTCCATGTCCTGGTCCCGGTCCGGTCCGGTCCTGGTCCTGGTCC